TGTTGTTAACCTTGCTTGTATTTTTTCTGCTGATGTGCCTCTGATATGTGTGTTTGATTTATTTTCAAGCATATGTTATGGTGATTTGTGTACAAGGGTTATTTGGTTGTTTTAGCCAAAATTTACCAAAGGGGGAGATTGTTATTTTTATGAAATTACGATTGGCATATATTTTGGTAAAATCAACTTGATAGAAACATGTTGAACAAGAAGTCCCAATTTGCAGTTTTAAACATGTCAAAGAATATGTCCTAACCAGGTGGATGGGACATCGCATCTGCAACAACTGTTAATTATATTTCAGCTGATATGTTATTTATTGAATATTTGGGGAATATTCAGTTAATTTATGTGGCATCCAAGATTGACAAATCAAAGATTCTATGTGGTTTTCGAAGGAATATAAAGTTTTTAAATATGGAGACATTTTAGGAAACTAATGATTGAAGTTCTATTTTCTTGGAGAAGAATTTGTAGACTTTGTGCAGCCTCATTGCTGCATTTTTGAAGCCCAACCAGTCCAGAATAATGTTGCAAATACACTGGTGTATACCTAGTTTTAGGAGGAACTTACATGTGTGTTTTGTTAGAGTTTTAGAATCCTTATTGTTGGGTTGCAAGTTCTATCAGGTGTTCATAAACTTTTAAGTATTTAACATTTGTGTGTGAGATACTCTGAATCTGTTAATTATTGAGTATTTGTGTGTCATTTCTCATAAGCTTTTAAGCATTAAGAGTTTGTGTCTTAGAAGAGTGAACTTTCGGTTTTGTTCTCTATTGTGTTTAGAGTTTCTCCAATCATTGAGCATGATTGAGGAGGGATTTGAGGAGATCCTCATACCTAGGTGTGTATTAGATAGAATTTAAGCAAATGGTAGTGATTAAGTGCGTAAATTGTAACGGGTGTGCTTGTTGTGTGGTCTATAAATTGATACTAGCTAGTTAATTTTGTCACTGGATTGGTAGCTCCTAGAGTAGGTGTTATTGTCATCGAACTGGGTAAACATATATGTGTATTATTTACTTACATCACTATTTATTTTTTCCATACATCTTGTTGTTGTATGTTGAAGTCAGATCCAGTGTCTCGACATCTCTTAGGATATCCGGAATCTGGCAGCCAGAATTTCAATAAAAAATTGGATTCTTGGACAAACAAATGACAGAAGTATCGTCACAGAAGATAAGAATGTTACTCTCATATATTTGATAGTTTTCCAGTTGACTTTTTATCCAGAGGGTCTGGGTGATGCATCTAGAAGTAGAAATATACAGAACTTCTATAATTGAGAGTGCTATTGTTGATGGTCTTTTGCTAGACCATGATATCAAATTGTCTCCCATAAACTGACAACTTCCACAAGTGCTTTTTCTCTCTAGTCTATCTCCATCATAATCAGCATCACAATAGCCTACTAACTTGTATTCTCTTGATTTTCTATAGCATAAACCAAGGTTAGCAGTACCTCTGAGATACCTAAAAATCTTCTTAACAGTTGTTAAGTGAGATTCTCTAAGATCTGATTGGAAGCAAGCACACAAGCATACATTGAATAAAATATCAGGTCTAGAAACATTCAAATATAATAGAGAACCTATCATACCTCTGTACAACTTCTCTTCAATCTTACCACTTACCTCATCCTTTTCTAGAATGCAGGTGGAATGCATCAGTGTCTTTGTTGTCTTGCAATCAGACAAGTCAAACATCTTCAGAAGTTCCTTGGTGTACTTGCTCTGATGAATGAAAGTCTCTTATGGGCCTTGATTTATTTGGATTTCCATAAAGAACTTGAGTTCTCCCATCATGCTCATCTCAAATTCAGTCTGGATAGACTTAGAATTTCTTACACAAAGTGGCATTAACATAACCAAATATAATATCATTAACACATTTTTGAACTACTAGAATGCCATTTTTAAATATCTTACAGAACAAAGTGGTATCAACCTTACATCTGGTGAAATCATTTTCTAAAAGAAAATTTCTTAATCTTTCATACCAAGCTCTAGGTGCTTGTTTCAGACCATACAATGATTTCTTGAGTTTGAAAACAAAACCTGAATTTTTATGATTTTCAAAACCAGAAGGTTTGTGTACATACACTTTCTCAATTATGTAGACATTTATAAATACACTCTTAACATTCATCTGATACAAGATGATGATGTGATTAACAATAAACAAAATCAAGAGACAAATAATGTAACACCCTGATTTAATTAAGATTATTTTATTTAAAATAATTAGAGAATGCCATGTATTTATATAAGTTGGTGAATATTTGATGTGTTGTTGTGTATTTGTTGAGAAATTAGATGCCTTGGAATTATAGAAGTTAAGGTGATAGGGGTGTATGGCTAAAAGTGTAGAGACAATGGAGTGTGAAGAGACATATGTTTTACTAGCATTATTTTAATTAATATATTAGAATTATTATGTTAGTATAATAATTTAATGATTATTTAATTAGAAGAGACAAAGTTGGAATATTGATTTAGGGGTCCAAGGGGTTAAGTTTTTATAAAAAGGAAGAATTAGGAGTTTTGGTTAATCGTAACAATTTTGAACAAGAGAAGAGAAGTGAAGAACGAGAAAGAGAGAAGAGGGGGCAATCATTCAGTAAGAGAAGAATTTGCGGTAGAAGTTTAGGAATCTCTAATCTAAAGTAAGGGTGGGGTTCCAACTCTCTAATAGGTGGTATAATTATGGATAGATGATGATATTGAAATGTTAGGTTTTGAGATAGGTTGTTATGAAATTGATTGTTGAATTTGTTGGTGAATGATGGAATTGGCGTGATGTTTATGTTAGACTTGTTTGGTATGTTGTGTGTTGATGATTTCATGATTTTACATGTTTTGGGATGTTCATAAAAATGATTTTTGGGTGAAAAGGGTGAAGAATTCGTAATAGTAAAATAACATATTTTTGCCTCTGCACATAGAGTAATCGGTCACTGTATATAGGGTAACCAGTTACCCTGTGTATTTTTCTGAAAATTGGCAAAAATGTGAGAGAGTAATTGGTTACCACATATGCACTAACTGGTTACCCAATTGGACAGAGACGTATATTTTGAAAATTTTGAGGTGTAACTGGTTACCGCCTTTGCAGTAACCGATTACCCAACTAGGCAGAACTGACAGTAATTTTGAAAACTTGGAAAATTCAAAAAAAATTCATCGGTGTCCGTTTGAACCGTTGGAAAGCTAAAATTATTTTTTATAACATGGGACCTATTTTTATGATAGTGGCCTAATATTTTATAAATAAAAAATTACGAGGTGTGTGTATGTTATATGTTTCATAACGTGAAATACCGTGATTGAATGCATTAGTGTGGTATAGATGTTGTATGAAGAATTTACAAGTGATGTTGCAGTTTCATGGTGTTATTGTTGTCCTGGAAATGGTATGATATTGGGACTATGTTGCATAAAGTTGTTGTCACATATCAGTGTCACATACATGTATCATTAATAGTCCGGATTTGATTTATGTTGTTTACTCAGATTTGGTTGTATGTTGATAGCTCGGATTTGGCTTATGTTGCTTCCCAAAATTGGCATTTTGGAGAGGGCTTATGCCCTGATGGTACCACATGCATCTTGCATCTGTGTCAGTGTATTGCATTTGTTGATTTGTTTCTATAACAATAACGTTAAGTTGAATGAATGAAATGTGTTGTATGTTGAATGAAAACAACTTCAGTTGTGTTTGCTTAATTTGATGACTATCGATGCTTAGAATATTGCATGATATATTTGTCGTATACTCATGATTATATAATCTTATATTATTGTGATATCTCACTCTTTCGGTTTGAATGTTTCCTTTACGTGGGTAACATGCAGATGATTCGCAGTAGACGAAGTTATTCGTCATTTATTTCGAGTCGGCGTCGTGCTCTGATACGTAATACCGGGGGGGGGGGGGGGGATGGACGCTTGTTTTTTTATTAAATTGTTGTTTTACTTTGAAGAATTGTGGGAGAAATATAAACTCTCTATTAGTTGATATAAATTAATTGTTTATGATGAGTTGAAGATGTTGAAAACAATTATGATTTCTTTTCTGCTATATTAATAAAGTTGAAGTTGAGAACCATGATGAAAATGTTGTCGGTTCATCCGAAAGTGTCTTATGTATCCGTTTAATTATGTTTTGAGCAAGTTATAATATGTTGAAAGAATGTGACATCTTATTCTGAGAGTTTTGTTTTACTCTGATTTCTATTTAAATTATCGATGGGAAAATTGGGTGTTACAATTGGTATCAGAGCAGGTTGGTCCGTTCGGCCAGATTATTGAGTCTTTAGTGTAGTATTGTTATACCCCAATTTTTACCCCTAAAATCTTTATCATCTCATATCACCACAATGCATCAAGATCAAACATTAGGGTTGTCTATCTCTTCTACTGTCTCTTATCTTTAAGTTTGTCCTTAAGGGATCACCGAGCACTCGTCTTATTGTGTATCTTGTAAATGTGTATGCTTTATGTTTTTAGTATTGTTTGTTTTGTTTCTTTTAGAAGACAAGACTTTGAATCAAAAGGTTCGGATGTTGATTTCTTGTGTTGAGGTTTTTAGGCATCAAGTCGAAGCGTTTTACGGTGGATTAAGATCTCATCAAACTTTTCAAGTGGAATTTGGTTGGTTCTTGAATTTATGATTTAGTTGAAGTTTGGTTTATGATTGTAAAGTATTTCTCTCAGGTTGATTAAAAAAAAAAAGAACTCATACCTATGGTTTGTGTGAAATTCAAGGTTGTTAATTCACTCATGTTACAATTTTCCTTAAGAATTGATTCAGAAAGACTAAGTGCATCCATGAGGATTTATTTGGAATTTAAATTTAAAAACTTTATGTCAAAAACTCAAAATTCAAAAGATGGAGGGACTTATCACTTTCATGGGTATGGAATTTACAAGAAAGATTCAAGATTTATTATTCAAATGGAATTCACATTCTATCATTCTAATTTCAATTTTCAAAGGCCCTTCAAGTATATTTCAAGCTCAATTTCTACATCATTCATGATTCAAGAGAGTTCAAGTTCACTATCTATCCATACAAGAGAATTCTAAACTTCTTCAAATTACATTTTTCATGGTACAAGAACAAGAATGAAAGTTGTCTACTTGTTTACACTTTCAACACCAATCAAGAATCAAAACTCCAATTGAGTTCTTTCAAGAGAGCCATTCATCACTTTTCTATTAAATTCCAAAATTACAAAGAAATTGTCCACACAAGTTCAAGAATTCAATTTAGTCTTTACAAGGAAATTCATTCCAAATTTGCAAGAAACATAATTCAAGACTACAAAAAAAAAAGAGTTCTCTACAACATCAAGCCTAAAGTCTTCAAATTACTTCATTCATGTCACAAAGATTCAAACAAGTTCATTCTACATGTTACAAATTTCTCAAGATGCAAAGTTCTTGATGACAAAAGGATGCAAAGCTTCACAACTTCATCCTCTAAACTCCAAGTGGTCACTATTTCTTCTTCTCCAACAATTCCTCTCCATGCCAATAACACCATCACCACATGAAAAGAAAGAAAATAAAGGGTGAATTAGCATATGTTCATATCTCTATTCCAACAATAATGAATCAAAATATTTCTCTCATTCCAAAATTTCCAACAACAACAATTCTAATATATATTTTTTATTTCAAATTTTAAACAAAACAAATTCCAACTTCCTTTTTTATTCCTCCAAGCTCAAGAAAATAAAGTCCAATTTCTTTCATTCCAACAATTCCACAAGTATAGTCTTACAACCACTTCTTTCCAATAATTTCTTTCCAAATAAATTTATTTCAATATACAACCATACAAAAAAGCCCATTCAACATGAAAATTATTCACAAAATAACAACAAAAATAGTAAAGCTTACAAGGGATTTTCGGAATTGATTCTTACCACCACAAAAACAATAGCAAAAAAATAGTAGAGAAAAAAGAGAAGAATAACTCACCGGAAAACCTTCGTCGGAGCTCGCCGGAACCCAAAGCCATCGCGCCGGAATCTTCTCCCACCTCCATTTCTTCTTCTTCCACCTTCAAAAGGTTGCCAATCTCCTTCCGAATCCGAATCCGCTCTCTCTTTTACATTTTTGTTATTGTTTTGTTGTTTTAAACCAAAAAATTCGTTGAATTAATTTGTAGATCTTGTCGATCTCATTAACTTTTTGAAAATTTTGACACCGGATTTGGAATGAGGACGTTGAGACGAAGCTTTTGGTATAAAAATTTCGCGTTCTGAAAAAATCACGGTGGCACCGCCGTGAACTTCGGTCGGTCACCACCGTGACCTTCGTTCCCTCCGCCGCTTATTATCTCTCTGCCCTACTATCTATTTCTTTATGTTTTGTTGTTTTGTTTACTAATATAAAAGAAAGATGATGGTGATATGTCTTTTTTGAGAAATGATGAAGGTGATGATGCTTAGAAGAGAGAGGAATCTTCTTTTTCTTAGAAAAAGCTTTTGAAAAAAAACAATGTTATCGGTTGTAACGTTAAGAGCATCAACATCCATCGTATCTATTTGGGTTCTTTAAATGGGATCCACATAATTTTTTATATTATTTCACAATTCTCAGTTTTTTAAATAACTCGACTACAATTCTCAAATATCCATGTAACTCATCAAAAAATCTAAAATGGGTCTCATATTTAAAATAAATCAACTCCATTTTTTCAATTTTATTTATTAATTTATTATCATGACCCACTTAATTGGAGTGTAGAAGCGTGTTTTAGTACGAGGACGTGTTTTAACTTAGGAACGTGAAAACAAGTGAAATATTCATTTATTATTGACACAATTTCTTTAATAAATGTGTAGGAACTCTAAAAAAACACCGATAATCATGCTCTAACATATTACAATCTTCTTTTTTTTTTTTTTTACTCTTGGGATATGAGCATTACACCGGTGAGTGACAAGTGGTGCTGGAGCCACTTGCTTTTATCTGAAAAGATGATTGAAATAATGATTCACTCCACATATAATTTATACTGTTATTGTGTATCAATATTCTCGATCATTAGATCTACATATTTTTTTGTTAGTTGACCAGATTTGATGGTACACAATTATCCTGCATTATTTTCTTTTACTATAATTCATTTTTATTTAAAAATTAATCATAAATTCAATTTCCGTCAAAAAAATTATGAAAAAAATCATAAAAATCACTTTTATTATTTCTGATTTTCTGGAAATTTATTTTTATTTTTACTATTTTTAATTATTTTTTACTTACTTTAGTGATTTTAAATAGTTTTAAAAATACTTTTTTGTTTTAAAAAATTTATCAAAATTTTGTAAAAAATACTTGAGATCATTTATGACTTTTCTATGATCTCTTTTTAATTTTTCTTTGATATTTTGAATATGATTTATTATTTTGGCTTTTATTTTCATTTTAAAAATAATTAAAGAAAATCTTTTTCTTTTTTATCTTATTTCTTTTTTATTTTTCTTGTGCTATAAGTTTCATGAGTGTGGTTTCTATCACATCTCTAACTTATATAACACATACATTGTTATTGACTGGCCTCGTTGTAGGGTGACCTCTATATAAGTTACTTGACGATTGCTTAACATAGCGTTAAATTTTGTCTCAACTAGAAGATGATCATTGGTGGCATAAACTTCATGTTTAAACAAAGCCCTAAAGATGGTTGAGTGTTTGACTTTGGTTCAATACCTGTGAAACTTGTCGTGTAGTCGCTTTGATTTTATCAAGCTTCTGATAAGTCTTCATTAACCTTGTCCACTGATCAATTCTCAATCATCACTGATCTTGTGTTGTGATCTCTGATTGTTCTAAAATGAATGATATACTTGACAAAAAGCAAATGAAACTTATTGTGCAGTTGCTTTAATTTTATCAATCTTCTGACAAGTTTTCATGAGCAAGTTTCAAGATGGTTATTCAGCTAACCTCTAATCACTAATAATTGACTGTATAAATTGCTTTTACTTTATGCGGTTATTTTTATGCCTTTACTTTTTATGCTTTTATGCACTTTATTCTTCAGCATTTACATTTCATGCTATTTGCCTTTTGCTCACTTGAGCATTTATTTTCATGATATTTTGAAGCATTTATTTTTTTGTGTTATTTTAAATTTTGCTCACTTGAGCTTTATTTTTATTTTCAATACACTTAATAATCAACTTGAACAATAAAAGCTTTAAGGTTACTTAGACTATCTGGTTACTATCCTTAACACTGAGGAGTTGTGGATTCTTGGGATTTTAGGAGTAGAAGCCTGATTACCTTGGGAACTCTTGATCTATGGTGTTGTTTTTTTCTGAGGTTATTCTGAGGTCCATGGGGTTTACTGCAAGGCGTTGGTTTGAATTTTTCTGTGTGCAGGTGTTTCTAATTTATATGTTTTGGCTATGATTGGGGATTTCTCTACATGCAATTGTTACTCTGACCAATTTTTCTCAGAAAAAGATTCCACTTTGGTTCTTCATCACTACATCTTAGACACTGATTTATTTTCACCTAAGGTTTGTTGTATTTTTGTTTGTGTGGTGGGCAATCCAAAGGATGGGACGTCTACCTTGATCTTCTATATCAAGTGTTGATCTCTTATCGGTTAGATCGTTCTTACCTTAGATTTTTAATTTTATGCACCTAAGATAATCCCTTCTTCTCCTCCTATCATCTTAATTTCAAAACCTCCCTCCTCTTTTTTTTCAAAACTTTCTTATTTTAAACTCTTGACCAATTTACTCGTACTTTGACCACTTTTTGAGACTAAACATCTTTAAACCTCATCTAAATCTTTTTTCCATTTTGGTTTCTTATTTTAAACTTTTTCTTAAGACTAGACTCTTGTTAATCCTTGTAGTTATGCAAACTACTATACTTCTCTGATATGTAGTGAAATGAGAAATTTTCCATTTGGGTGTTGAGTGAGGCTTTGTTGATTTTAAAATCCAAGCCATATCCTCCACTTTGAGATGATGCAAATTCTCATTTCTCTTAATCGAGGGTAGTAAGTATATTTTCCACTCGGATGTAACGATGATGTCATGTCTTCTTAAACCCCACTTCAAAAATATTTTGAAAAACATCTATTTTTATACATACTTTTTCATAGCTAACATACACAAATTTTCAAAGAGGTTCATGTGGAGTACCGTAGATGTTTAGGGTGCTAATACCTTCCATTTTCATAACCAACCCCTGAACTTAGATTCTCTCCCCCTTACTATTAGGTTTTATCAGCTCTTTTCCTAGTCCCATTAGATAAAATAAAGTGCGGTGGCGACATTTATTTTGATCTGTACGAGATGAGTCAATCCAATGGCTTAGCCTCGAAACATTTTTGTCGCTACAAGTATAACAATAGAATATTGTTGATGTATTTCTTCTAACCATTGTCTAATGTTGTGATGTGAGGTAGAGCAATGACTGAAAGGAATGATACTGCACTTGTTGTTGCGTTGCAGGCTTTAGCTCAAGCGATGCAACACCAGCCTAATGCTGGCAGGAACGATGGATATCGCGTGTTGGAAACTTTCCAAAGGAAACATTCACCTATGTTCCGAGGAAAGCATGATCTTGAAGGAGCACAGGAGTGGCTCAAGGAAATTAAAAGGATCTTTTGGGTTATAGACTATATTGAGGCATAAAAAGTGTGTTTTGGTACGCATATGCTGGCAGGAGAAGCTGATGACTGGCGGGTTGATACTCTCCAGATGTTGGGAGGCGTATGTGAGGCTTTTGCTTGGGTTGTATTCTATAAGGAGTTCCTGAGGAAGTATTACCCGGAAGATGTCCGTGAAAAGAAGGAGATTGAATATCTGGAGCTGAAATAGGGAGACTTATCGGTGATAGAATATAATGCCAAGTTTGTGGAACTGAGGAGACTACTGAATTTTAGAAGTACGTTAAGTTTGAGAATGGTTAGCATTCTGAAATCAAGAAGGACATTGGGTATCAGCGGATCCGTAAGTTTCCAGATTTGATGAATAACTGCATAATTTATGAGGAGGATGGTAAGTCTCACTACAAGATTGTCACTGAGAAGAGGGGCAAGCAACAATAACATTGTGGGAAGCCTTACGGTGCTCCAACTGAAAAAGGTAAGCAGAAAATTAATGATGGTATGAGGCCAAGTGGGGGATGTGCCCCTGCTGGTATTGTGTGTTTCATATGCAGAAAGCCCAATCATCGAAGTAATGTATGTTTTGAGGGAGTGAGGAGATGTTTTCGTTATGGTAAAGTTGGGCATGAGATAACTGATTGCCAATACAAAGAGGCAATGTGTTTTAACTGCGGTGTAGAGGGACATATCAGTACTCAGTATCAGAAGCCTAAGCAAGTTTGATCCGGTGGGAAAGTTTTTGCTTTGGCAGGGATACAGACATCCAGTGGAGACCAAAGTAGATGCATTGTTGCAGTGGGAAGCTTCGAAGTCTGTTGCATAAAGTAGAAGTTTTCTGGGTTTGGTTGGATATTATAGACGATTTATTGAGGGTTTTTCTAAGTTAGCACTTCTGCTAACTCAGTTAACTTA